GGGGAGGGGAGTCATTGGGGAGATCTGCATTGAAAGTGGGGGTATCTCTGGGGCTGTGGACTTCCCCCCAGTGTGGAAGGGGAACTGGGGGGTCGGTGGGAATGGGAGTCCCAGGAGAAGGAGATGGGGGGAGAAGCCCCCTGCTCATGACCCTGAATCAGGAGCACTGGAGGGTCAGGATGAGGGGCTGATCCTGAGGGATGAAGACCCCGCAGGGCTGGATCCTGGGGCCCGGGCTGCAGCGAGGGGCTGGCCCAGGCTATAGTGCCTGGGCCCAATGTCCAAGCCGTTCCCCTGCCCCCCAACTCCCCCCCTCTCTCCCCAGCAGGCCGTGCGGTGATGGAGCCAGACTACAAGCGCCGGAAGATGGAGGAGCCGGCTGACCCACCGTGGGAGGCGTTGCTGGTGCTGCCCGAGCTGGAGTCGCAGGAGGTCGAGCTGACCCCGGCCTATGCCGCCCCCGTGCTGCTCCGGACTGAGACGTCCCGCCTGGTGCGGGAGCTGTCGGCCACCCGCCCCCTGACAGAGCTCCCGCACCTGAAGCGGGTGCGGGCACGGGGCGGGACTCAGCCGCTGGAGGTGCTCCTTTGCCCGGCCGGCCCCTCGCCAGGCGCCTCGCGGACACTGGCGGAGCTCCTCCCGGACGGACGGGTGGACGTCCGCGGCCTGGGAGAGCCCTTCCTGGTGCAGGTGCCTGCCCGGGCCCCCCTCACCCGGCCCCAGTTCGAGGAGGCCGCCCGGCACTGGCCCACGGCCTTCCACGAGAACAAACGGACCAGCCAGGCCCTGGCCGGGCGGCTCTTCACACCCCAGGACAAGGCGGCCATGGGAGCCCACATGGAGCACGCCGTCTGGGCCGCCCGCCGGGGGGCAGAGCTGGGCATGGTGCCGGCGGGCGCCGCCGTGGTCGACCCGGCCACGGGGCAGGTCCTGGCGGTGGGGCACGACTGCCGGAACGGCCTCCACCCGCTGCTCCACGCCGCCATGGTCTGCATCGACCTGGTGGCCTGCGGCCAGGGCGGAGGGGCCTACAGCTACCCGGACTATCCCGCCTGCTCCTTCCTGCC